CTTCCAATAGCCCTTTCAAAAACTCTTATTGTGACCATTAGCACTAATAGAAGGCAGAGTTACATTGATTCTACTACAAAGATTGTATCAATGCTGCTAAAAAATGTTTTTTACTGAAGATTGAGAGCACTCATTCAGCAGAAGTCTCCCGGGGAATAGTGCATCTCTCTAACCAAACAAGAAAGGCACAGAGGGTGGGCTGCAGAACACATCTCATGTTCTTTATTGCAATCATTAATATGCCTGTGAAGAAGCTTCCATGTGAAGGGATATAAAGGGAAGATCTCTGTCTGTGGAATGTCAAAAGTGAGGAATTTAAAGTCCCTGCCTACCTCCGAAAGTTGTTCTACTTTAGAGTGACTACCTCAAGCAGAGATGTAGAATACAAGAGGAAGAACACCTTTGTAGTCCACACTGCTGCTGTGCCTCCATCTTCACTATTTACCCAAGGCTGTGCTCCTCCAGTACCACTTTGATTACAGTATGCAAGCTGTAGTCTCTTAGCTGTTCAAGGTGACACAGATAAGGGAGTTAGGTATGCAAGTGGAACAGAAGATACCTGCAAGGTGATAGTAACCAAAGAGCAATAATAACCCCAAAGGAAGTGAGATTCAAGGAAGGTGAAGAAAGGAGACCTTTGATTTCATGCTCTGTATCCTGTATTCTATCCTCAAACCTGGAGTATTCTGTGATTAAACCTTCAATGTTCTGGAGTTCCAAACTATAATTTCTGAAATAAAATGAAAACATAATTTCTTTTGTTTTGTTTGAACTCGAGCAATGGGTCTCTGTGTAACCCAGATGGCTGCCTCACATTTGCAACAAACTTCCGGCCTCGCCTTTCCAAGTGCTGGGATTAAGGCTGTGAGCCACCCCACCCAGCCTGAAACTACAGTTTAATACTACTACTTTATAGAGTCTTCAACACAAAACTGAAGAAACCAGAACACAAAGATATGGTGCCTCGCATTTTCAGATACTCAGACCACAAAAATTACACCTAGGTGATCATTATAATTAAAATGGTAACTTCCTTGATTATAACCCCTCCAAAGAAACCTCTTTCCAAAACAAAAAGATAGCAAACATACATACTACAAAATGCTCTAATCTAATTTTCATTTTAAAATGTGGCAGCTTGTTCTGTTTCTGTTGGTTTGGTGTTTTAAGACAGAATCTCATTATGAAGCCGAGGCTGGGACTGCAAGCATATACTGCCAAGCCTGGCTGGCAATGTGTTATTCTTAATCAACAATTTAAATGAGAAGAGGTCACCACAACTCACTGGAAGTACTGAATCTTCATTCTGGGTATTTGGGCTCTCTTTTTGGTTCTGCTCCTTAGAATTGAGCAAACTTACTACTCTCTCTGATTCGGTTTCCTCATCTGCACACTGAGGGAGATAATCAATACAATAATAATTCTATAGACAACATTGTCTCACAACACAAATACATTGATTAAATCCTCCAGACATATTTAAGAAGAGGAGGAGGAGGAGAATGAAGATGGGAATGGAAACAGAAGGAGAAAGCGAAGGTAGGAAGGGGTAGAGAGATAGCTCAACTAAAAATCCTGAATTTGGATCCCTAGTACCTACATAAAAAGTCAGGTGTGACTGCATGAACCTGTAACCCCAGCACTGTGGTGAACCAAGACAGGAGGATCTCAGGAGGTTTTTTACCACCAGCCTAGCCAAAAACCAGGCATTGAGCTCCAGATTCTGTGAGAAAGCCTGTCTGAAGGGAATACAGCAGAGAATGAGAGAGCAGAACACGCAATGTCTCCCTGGCCTCTGAATGAGCACCTGTAGATGTATGTATGTATGCATACACCACACACACAAAATAAAGTTTGAAATAAAAATAAAAGGTGATTCAAAGCCATATATCCCTGAGCTTCCTAAGTAGAAATACACAATTGCCCCTAAAGACTAATGAGAAAAACCAAAGGCAAAACAAAGTGTTCTCTATACAAACATAAAGTCAAATTTCTCTATGAAGTTATCCTATGCATATTACAAGCATTACAAAAGACCAAGGTACCACTGTAATTATTTACACACACATACTTTACTGTAGGAATACATAAAACACTTAAATTCAAGTCCACAAAAGCCAATACTCTATGTGCTACTGGAGGAGTCACTATACTTCTGTTGAAGTTATTATTCTGTGTATGAGTATTCTGACTGCATGTATGTAAGTATACCCTAGTCATGCAATGCTTGCAGAGGCCAAAGGGGTGTCAAATCCCCTGAAACTGAAGTTCTGGACGGCTGTTAACCACCATCCTGGCTAACGTGGGTGCTGGGAACCAAACGCAACCAGGGTACTCTATGAGAGCAGCCAGAGCTCTTAACCATGAAGTCATTTCTCCAGCCCCTGAAGTATATTTTAAGAAATTGATTTCGGTTGGGATTCTACTTACATTGGAGACTTAAAATATGTATTTTTGAAAAACTGGCAAATTTCAATAAATTGATCTTCTGCATCCCCCTAAAGATCACATTATCAGAAACATAAGTTATTCACTACTATTTCCCTAATCTACTACTTTATATAAAACTGATGGAACAGATTTAGTAATAGTGTACACAAAAGACACGAGTACAATAGTTTTGTCAGTGACAATAACAAAGAACCCCCAGAGCAAGGGGAAATCTGGGATGTCAGAACTGCAATGAGTTGGTTAAAGATGCTCTCTTGTCTAGTATTTTCCACTTAGCACTCTTCTCTGACTAAACCTTTGAAACTCAGTATTTTAACACCGCAAGTTACATAGCAATCAATTAAAAGCCTAGTACAGGCCACCTGAAAGCTATGAGAACCTCAAGTCTTCCTTGGCACAGGTTTCAACTGGTGAAGATCTGTTAAGTACTACAGGAAACTTCCAAACTCCTAGACAGTCTTACCAGCCTTAGAGATTTAAGTACTTTAATATTATCTGCTTTTAGATATCTGAGCTCTTTAGGAATTAGGATCTCACAGGAACAGCAGAGACTGGTGGAAAAGAAACGTGTGAAGTGTTACCTTGCAATACAAAGTGGCAAAGGCTACACTATAACATTGCTGGAGATTTATAACAACCTAACAAAGCAGGGATCTGAGGAAGTCTAAGGAACAGGGGCATTCCAAGGTCAACTCCACTAGACTTTACTAAGACTCTACAATGTAGTGTATTTCTTGGTGTTACAAATAGAAAAATAATGGTTCCCTGCCCTTAAGGAGCTTAAGAGTCCAAAGGAGACAACTTTGGAATAATTTGGGGATCGAAATAAACTACCCTTTCTAGAGGAGGTAGGCTATGTTGGAATGCATTAAAAGACCGAATTTGTAAATAAAAAGGAATGACTTGTTTGCAGGTGTGGGACTCCGTGTAATAAGGAATGGGAGAAAACTCAAATAGAAGACTGATCCAAAGCCTGGTGTGGCCCAAGCCTCTAATACCTCACTCTGCAGGCTGAGACATGAGGATCATGAGTTCAAGGCTATCCTGGGCTACAGAGTGAGACTAAAATGAAGAGTGACCCAAGGTTATTCTGGACAGCTCTGTGAAATCAAGAAAGTGAAGGAAAAAGAAAAAAGCTGGGTAAGGTGAATTTTTAACTTACAATCTGTTGAACCAATGAGCGGGAGTAGTGTTTTGTTGTTGTTGTTGGTTGTTGTTTTTTAACGCACACAGATTTGAAACCCACTAGGACTGGACCCAGACTTCCATGGTCATCACTCATTTCAACTTCTTCCTAGCCATGTCATTAGAGAAAGTTATTTAAATATTATTTGCCTTAATCTAAGTGCCTGCAAAATGGGGTAGAAAACGTAGTAATACCTATAAAGTCAAGAGCAGCTTCTCCAAAGCACAGGTGTGATCACATCGCTGTACTGATCAAAAATTTTATGGTCAAAGTCAAATTCTAATCGTGTAGGTGCTGGTACTTTCTTTCTTGGTCTAATTCTGGCTAAACACCCTTCTACTTCCGTGAACCATTGGAATCTGGTGCCAGTTACGCAGAACAATAAGCACTGTCCTAACTACATCTACAAAGTCATTCTTCACTATCTGTCAAAGCCCACTTCTCTGGAAACGAACTTCCCAATTCCATAGTAGTCTGCCAGTTCTTTACATTTACCACCATTGTCTGCAGTAGGTCTCTCCGTTCTCACTAAGGCCGTAGTTTCAGAGAGCTGGGACACATGTTCTCCTTCAACCTCACTCCTACCCATCAGCCTAGAAGATGCCTATGCAAGGCTGGGAAAAGCGCTGCTAATTAAACTGGGTGTTTACAACCGTAATGGCCGCGAAACTGCTTAATTTCGCATAATTTGTTACTGCTTTCAGATTCGCCAAATCCAAGACACGAAACGACTCTTGGATATCAGAACGACTCAATCCTTTCGAGAAAAGTTCCACGGGGCACCCCCGCAAGAGTCGCCAGGCGGTCATTCTGAGCTCGCGAAGTTGTGCGTGCCTAAAGGGCAGCGGCGCTCAGGTCGGCGCGGTACTTTGAAATGAGTACAGCCTAGTAGCTCCGGCCGCGCGCGGGGCTGGGCTCCGGGCTCCCATCAACTTCCCGCGGGCTCCGGCCACGCTCGCGCCTCGGGTCGCAGCTTCTCCGCGTCCGGCCGCAGCTACACCCGCCCGGGTCGGCGCGCAGGGGCCTGGACCGCCGCCGTTCGCTCCCGGCTCCGGGAACTCTCCCCACGGGCC